TCAGAAAAGGGCAGTGACATGCCTGGACCCTGAAGCTATAAAAAGGAGGCCTCAAGCCTCAGTTGGTCAGTCCTTTGTTTCAGTCTAACATTCGTCCAACCGCGCAGGCCGCTCCGATAGAGGTAACTAAACCCTTTCCTGCCAGAAATCTCCTCGTCCCATTCCTTCCTGACGTTCAGACGCTTCTTAGTGGAATCTCTGTTTGTTTATTTCACCTTTGGCCCAGCTGTGTCGCCTTCCACTACGACTGCACGGTAGAGTTGACATTGAGGTTGGTCTAGCATCAGGTAACACTGGCCCCAGAGGTCCCAAGATATCACATACATTTATATATATGTTATGATTATAATGTTTTGATGTTGGAATGATAAAGAATTGGAGGTACAGTCGTGAAAAAGAAAAAGATAGTTATTTACTTATCAAGTAGTTTTTATTTTCAATTACCTGAAAAGAATTACACATTAAATATTTTTCACAGTAATATAGAATTTATAAAATGAATCCTATATTCGTGAATTAAAAAATGGGTTGGTTAACTATACATATTTATTTTTAAGATCTTCAAATGTTCCTACATATATAAAGAAAGAGATTATTTCCAAGTCTTAACACGATTATTGGTATCATTATTGATGAGCAATGGTATCAACATATATAGTCACGACCGTCTTTCCTCATGTCACGGATGCGCGCGCATCATCATTATGATCATTATATCATTATCTAATGATAATAATAATAATAATTATTATTATTATATTATTATTATTTTTATTAATCAACATATATAGTCACGACCGTCTTTCCTCGTGTCACGGATGCGCGCGCATCATCATTATGATCATTATATCATCATCTAATGATAATAATAATAATAATTATTATTATATTATTATTATTATATATATATAGTCACGACCGTCTTTCCTCATGTCACGGATGCGCGCGCATCATCATTATGATCATTATCTTCTACTAGACGAATGGCCCGGGCAACGCCCGGGGTTTACCCGAGTGCGAATATATTCTAAAAACGTTGACTTGGGTGGTCGCTATTAACAGGGTGGTCTGTATAGACAGGTGGATGTATCACACAGCTGATAACAGGGTTGTCTAGAGTGGTCGCTATAGACAGGGTGGTCTGTATAGACAGGTTTATGAGAGAGGCACAAACTTACAGGTTGTTGACGCCGCAATCCCCAGAGAGAGTGTTTTTTGTTGCATCATGCTGTGACTCACACGACGACCCAAGGTCAACAGGGGTGGAGCAGCAAGCTTAGGCCTATCTCCGTCTGGCGGCGCTGCTTGCGAGTTATATCTACAATTCTGCAAATAACTCTAAGGATATTCAAGATATTCAAGAAATTATTTTTCGAAAACCTTTCCGGGGATATACCTAATAATATCCCAGAATTTCATGGCGATTGGATGTATGGTTTTTGAATAACAGGGTTGTCTAGAGGGGGGCAGGGAGGACACGTGTTCCCTGACAGCCAATGAGCGCGCATTCTATCCGTGAGCTTCAGACAAACAGACAAACAGACAAACAAACAGACAGAATAAGGCAAATATATAAGTAGATAGAAGCTTCTATCTTTATAATTATGTATATTTACAAAAAGTCAATTCGCTCGCGCCTCTAGCGGTGAAAATGAGGGGTAATACCAGCTGACCTAATGTACATGTAAAGTTTGGAGCGGGACGTTTCACAAGAATGACATCCACGGCTCCAATTTATAATTGTAACAAATAGTATTGGAATAAAACATTCAATCGGGTAAAACACGGGCGTTGCCAGGGTCATTCGTCTAGTACCATATATTCATGAACATTTTCGATAAATCACAGTATAACTTTACAGTTCAAAATTGAGAAAGAAGTAAATAAGAAACGTGACTTGGACAATTCTACCACAAGGCCCAGTGTACGTCTACGCTATCCCAGAGGAATTATGGCGACAGACGACAGCTAAAGCATTCGTGTGCGTGATTTACACTTCACTGTGGCCAAGGCTCCATTCTGTAAAACCATTTGTTGTTTTCATCGTGTTGTTGCAGAGATACTTAAACAGTTCATGTATTCTTTAATATGGCAGGTTTTACATGAACCTTGTCTCTTCTTGAAATTATGTTATTATACAAGGTGCGTTCATTAATTTCCAGGACTGCTCTGTATCTTTGAAAAAAATAAAACAAATAAAAAAACTAATTCAATATTTTTCAAAATATGCCCCTCCTGCCTCAATACACCCGTTCCATCTTTTTTTCCAATTGTCGAAGCAGGAGATAAAAGCACTTTTTGAGAGGTTCCTCAAGGTTGCCTTCGATTCAGCTTGTATCATATCAACGTTGTCAAATTTCCGTCCTTTCAAGTTAATTTTCAATTTAGGATAGAGGAAAAAGTCATTGGGGGCTAAGTCGGGGGAATAGGGTGGATGAGGGATCTGTATGGTTGAATGCTTGGCCAAAAACTGCAAAACAACATGGGCTGTGTGCGGCCCGCGCATTACCGACGTGAAGTATCCAGTCATTGTTTTGCCATCTTTCAGGTCTTTTAAGGCGCACTGCCTCCCTTAAGCACCTCATTATCCCCAAATAAACAGATAGTCCAGTCACTGAAGATAATTCTTCTGTTAGATTTAATTAACTCCTTTATTTTGAGCTTGTTTTCCTCGCAACGAAATGATCTTGGAGCCCAGTATGCTGATCATCGTTTACCTTTTCCCGACCTTTTTGGAAGCGTGAAAATCATTCAAAAGTTCTTGAACGGGATAAAGCTGCATCGCCAAAAGCTTCTTTAATCAATTCATACGTCTCAGTATCACTTTTTTTTCAATTTAAAACAAAATTTACCAGGTCTATTAGTATGAAACGCGAAAATTTTCAGTGAATTCAAAAGTTCACCAATTCCATACAACAAAAGATTTTTTATTCAAAGTAACTGCCCTGATTAGCTATACACTCGGACCACTTTTCAGGCAATTTTCGAATTCCTTGTCTGAAAATTTCTATTCCTTTTGAGTCGAACCAGTCAACAAGTCATTTTCGGAGTATGTCTGAGTTCGAAAATTCCTGGTTTTTTAGGGCGCGTCCTAAAGATGTGAAAAGGTGGTAGTTCGACGGCGCTAAGTCTGGTGAGTACGGCGGGTGGGGTAAGAGTTTCCAGCCCAAGTCCTTTATGATGTTTTTGACCACCGTAGCGTTGTGGGCTGGAGCGTTGTCATGCTGCAGTATCAGCTTGTAGTGCTTTTCACGCTATTCCGGTCTTTTTTCATTCAACGCCTCTCTCAAACTGTGCATTTGTTGTTCGTAGCGACTAGTATTGACCATTTTGCCAGGTTTCAGGAGCTCGAAATATACTACGCCGGTCTGGTCCCACCATATGCAAAGCATTGCCTTTTTTTCCGAAGCGATTGGGCCTAGGCGTCTGTTTTGGAAATTGGCCGGGCAGACCCCACGACTTTTGGCGCGTAGGATTGCTGAAGTGGATCCATTTCTCATCAGAAGTTACGATTCGGTGCAAAAATGACTTCTTTTCATGCCTGGCGTGCAGCCCTTCGCAGGTTACCAGAGGTCGTTATTGCTGCCTTTCGCTCAACTCGTGGGGGACCCATCTGGAAAGCTTTTGGGTCATTCCGAGGCTGTTTAAACGTAGAGAAACAGCACCTTGAGACACCTGGAGCTGTTTTGCGAGTTTCTCCTGCATTTGGGTACTGTCCTCATCCAACAAAGCTTGCAGTTCAGCGTCCTCGAACTTTTGGGGCGGTTTTCTATGTGGTTCATTATCAAGTTCGAAATCGCCACTTTGGAATTTTTTAAACCACCTGTAACACTGCGATTTGCTCAGAGCGTGGTCGCTGTAAACTTCCCCGAGCATTCGGTGGGCTTCAGTGGCACTTTTCTTCCAGTTGAAGGCGAACAACAAAACTTCCCGCAAATGCGCAATTTTTGGCTCGGAAATCGCCATTTTCCACGGGCTCCAGAAATTTTTCACGATTTGAATTTTTCTAAAACTGCACGCATGCTGATGCCACGTGAGTCAAAGAACAAAACGCCTACAACAGCGCTACCGTCGGCTCAAATAAAGTTGCACAGCGGCCTCTGGCGCCCATTTTCGCGTTTCATACTAATAGACCTGGTAATGCAGATTCTCTGCTCTTCGAAAATGGCCATTTTAAAATTAGAAATGCCAACCTTACAAGGAAGTTGTTTTGTTCTATTTTTAGATCGGCGCGTGCGCCACGAGACTCGTGCTTTCAGTCAGGTGTGGTCGAATGTCCAATATTCAACTCTGTAAAAAATATTTTCTCTAGCTTTTTTATTTATTTTATTTTTTAACCAGTCCTGGAAATTAATGAACGCACCTTGTATATTATCTATAAACCGTGCAAACCACTTCTGACATGTTTGTTCAGCTAAAGCATGGTCACCATAAACTTCCACTAAAATACGATGACTCTCTCAACAGCTTTTTTCTTATATTGAAGTAATGAAGTAAAACTCTCCGCAAAAACACATTATTTGGTACAAAAGTTGACATTTTAGAAGCAAACAGAAACTAGGTTGTTTATACTTCAGAGAAATGACGGTTAGTGGAAAAGGAAGCCTTATGATGACGCTTCAAAATAATGGTATTGCCAGATGAAACAGTGGAATAATAAACTAGTAGCACCATCTTCATCAAAACCGCATGAACTTATTTATACTCCTAATAGTTTCGCCTAAACATCCTCAATCTTAACCCTCAAACGATCCCTTCAAAAGACATCGATTCAATGTTTAAATGCTTCTTTTTTTCTTCTCAAAATTTATTCAACTACCTATGTCGCGATCAGCGGCTCTGCGCTCAGAATTTATCTTGCCTAGATTCCCCAAGTCTTCGTCCCGGGCAGGAGTACATCGTCCTATCTCAAACTGTAAGGAAATCTTTGGAGAGCGTTAGAAGATCTAAAGGTCCCTGGATCGATCCCGGGTTTCATCATCATTTTTTTTTTTATACTAGCAGTGGTGACCGAGTGCGGAAAGCGACGGACTAGAAATCCACTGGGATCTTCCCGCACAGGTTCGAATCCTGTCGACTGCGTTTTTTTTTTTCAGGCCCCAAAAGAAAACTGTTATTTGTCGTAGCTTCACAGTGCAAGTGATACTGGAGGTATTGGAGAACAACAGCGTCTTCAAGACAAACGCTGTCTCTAGAAGATATCTCCGGCATTCTTCCAAGCTAATAAAGATGCGAGTGACTAATCTTGTTCTTGTTCCAAAATCACTTTATTAGGTACCACTCAAAAAGAACAACCTAGCTTATGATATTTACAACAATGAATGTGAAGGTTATTCACATATTAAACAAAATGTTAACGCAGGATTCAATCCCGGTTCTTGACTGTCGAGAATCGAGGGTGTTACCCACTCGTCCACAGACTGAGTGACAAATATTACTCTTTCGGGTTAACACACAAAAATACAATAGGGCCTGTTTTAAAAGTAACTTAACACAGAAAACGCGTACACTCAGAAATACAACAAAATTAAACCTCTCGATTAGTTTTAACAACCAATATTTATCTTTTATTTGCAGCGTTTAATAAGGAGCGGACCTGGGTTACACATGTATGCGAGGAGATCACCAGACAAGCATACAGAGAACACTTTAGGCATATCCACACAACCACCACTCCACGATTCCTCGCATCCCGTTTCAACCCTCTTTATGTAAAAACATGGCCACATTCGTCCAATGACGTGGGAGATCAGTTCACTTAACTAGCAAACAACATTCTTCACGCATAGCTGAGAAGATTAAAACTACTTATGTTCGTCAAATAATTTGACACGATACTAACAAGAAACTGAACTTTAAATCTTTTCACGACTACATTTTATTTTAGAATTTACATAATTTTGTGAATTGGTTTAACTTTTTATATATTTTAGATTGAAAAAATAGCAAATCTATACAGATAAACAAAGAAAATTAACATATTCGTGTTTCCAACAATCTAACACCGTACTATCTAGTGTGTATTTAATTTATTAGTGACTTAAACAGCCAGTCTTTCTTAACCCACTAACTTATTTTAAACACAGGCAAAGTCAGACTTTCACCAAAGTGTGCCTGGATCATAGTGCCATGATCAACGATCATGTTTCTGCACCCCTATATTCCATTCCATGAGATCACTAATGGAATGTAGCTGCTGTATTGTCCGTGAGGTCAAGAGACGTACGGACCTCTGTGGTGTTGATCTCTTGGCGGAACGACTTGGAAGTCGGACTCGGGCCCCCCCACTGCGGCAAAGTGGATCAACTTCGGGGGACTTGCCTCTCAGACTTTAATGACCGATATGTCCTCACTTCTTTTTTCTAGATTTAATTTATTTTGTCTCCTCTCTAATTGTAAATACGCTGCTGTATCACCTCATAAGCATAAATAATAAAAAAACTAATGGAATTCGTGTAATATTTGCACACAAAGAGATAATAAACTTCTTTTAAACATACAGTTTCGGCCTGTCCCGAGAGTGGTTGTAGGCATCGCTGTAAAGAAAGGAATTTTGGTTTAAACCACCTGTGACAGACCATCTGTTTTTGACGACAATTTGCCACTTTGTCTCTAAAATCAGTTATTTGACACGCCTATAAATCCGGGATTCCCAAGCCACCTTTGTCCTCTCCATCTGGTTTCTGCGAGTTTCCTGGAAACGACCTCGGGGGCGTTGTCCGTGATCATAAACCACTTTATAAACCACGACAGTCATTGTGTGCAGGATAAAGACACAAGGAAGTAGCTCCCACATTGGTGGCTTCTGTCATTGGCGGATGGAGGTCAACCAATCAGGAGGTGACATCAATCAACAAACATTGGAGTGTTTCCAGCATTCCCGTTCGTCACCCTTGGGTCAGCAGGATGTAAACCTTCTCGCCCACACTATGTACGGGGGTTGTGGACACGGGGTGACGGTAGCTGTACGGGGGTTGTGGACACGGGGTGACGGTAGCTGTACGGGGGTTGTGGACACGGGGTGACGGTAGCTGTACGGGGGTTAGTGGACACGGGGTGACGGTAGCTGTACGGGGGTTGTAGACACGGGAGGACGGTAGCTGTACGGGGGTTGTAGACACGGGGTGACGGTAGCTGTACGGGGGTTAGTGGACACGGGGTGACGGTAGCTGTACGGGGGTTGTAGACACGGGAGGACGGTAGCTGTACGGGGGTTGTGGACACGGGGTGACGGTAGCTCTACGGGGGTTGTGGACACGGGGTGACGGTAGCTCTACGGGGGTTGTGGACACGGGGTGACGGTAACTGTACGGGGGTTGTGGACACGGGGTGATGGTAGCTGTACGGGGGTTGTGGACACGGGGTGACGGTAACTGTACGGGGGTTGTGGACACGGGGTGATGGTAGCTGTACGGGGGTTGTGGACACGGGGTGACGGTAACTGTACGGGGGTTGTGGACACGGGGTGACGGTAGCTCTACGGGGGTTGTGGACACGGGGTGACGGTAACTGTACGGGGGTTGTGGACACGGGGTGACGGTAACTGTACGGGGGTTGTGGACACGGGGTGACGGTAGCTCTACGGGGGTTGTGGACACGGGGTGACGGTAGCTGTACGGGGGTTGTGGACACGGGGTGACGGTAACTGTACGGGGGTTGTGGACACGGGGTGACGGTAGCTCTACGGGGGTTGTGGACACGGGGTGACGGTAGCTGTACGGGGGTTGTGGACACGGGGTGACGGTAGCTCTACGGGGGTTGTGGACACGGGGTGACGGTAACTGTACGGGGGTTGTGGACACGGGGTGACGGTAGCTCTACGGGGGTTGTGGACACGGGGTGACGGTAGCTGTACGGGGGTTGTGGACACGGGGTGACGGTAACTGTACGGGGGTTGTGGACACGGGGTGATGGTAGCTGTACGGGGGTTGTGGACACGGGTTGACGGTAGCTGTATGGGGTTGTGGACACGGGATGACGGTAGCTGTACGGGGGTTGTGGATACGGGGTGACGGTAGCTGTACGGGGGTTGTAGACACGGGGTGACGGTAGCTGTACGGGGGTTGTGGACACGGGGTGACGGTAGCTCTACGGGGGTTGTGGACATGGGGTGACGGTAGCTGTACGGGGGTTGTGGACACGGGGTGACGGTAGCTGTACGGGGGTTGTGGACACGGGGAGAGATGGTTAAACATACTTTTGACTACTAGTCAATTATGAATGAAAAATAATGAGAATAATACAATGAAATTATGATTGAGGAAGGCTCCACCATCTTGCTAGAGTCCTCCTCCAGACGATGAGAGGGTCTTATTGGACGCCCCGTATCTCCAGGCCCAGGAAGTGCTTGTAGATACGGGTCATGGCAGACGCCAGGATGGCCAGGGCGTCGTCCTCCAGGTCATGCCCGAAGATCCATCCCTGCAGGTCAGGGGGCCGCTGGATGATAGTGAAGGCCTACAGGATGACAGGCCTGATCCGCCCACAGGACCAGTAGCGGTGGGCCAGTGACAGGTCTTCGGACCCACAGGCGATGCAGGAATCCCGGGCTGAGGCCGGATGCGCTGGATGGGGGAGGGCGTGAAGGGCCAGCCGCACGGCAACGTCGGCATTGTGCCCCGAGAAGGCACCTCGCCGGAGAGAAGGCCTGCTGATGGAGATGGGGATGCTGACGTGGGGAAGCCACCGGGCTAGCAGCTGGGTGATGGGCAGTGCAGCCAGGCGTGGACGTTCTAGCATGCGGCGGGCAGTGCGGGTGGTTAGGCGCTGGAACGCAGTGGCCGTCCCGCGCAGCACGATGCCGTCCTTGATGTTGTCAACCCGGTGGGTGTGGTTCCGGTTCTCTTCCACAATCCGGCTGCAGAAGGTGGTGAGTGCCGCGATGTCAGCGAGGGCGGCGCGGGTGGTGCGCAGAGGGAGAGATGAAGAGCTGGTGAGATCACCAACGCGCATAGCCGCCCACCGCGATGCGACCAAAAGATCTGGAGGCCGAAGGAACCTGGAGTCCCCGATGATATGGAGCTCCTGAAGCTGAAGTGGCGGCAGCACCCGGTGGTTCAGCTCCAATATCTCCGAGACGGCCTCCCAGAGCTTGAGGAGCCTGCGGCGCCGAGGTGGATGCCATGTCCCAGATGTTGGAGGGGTCAGCCACGTCCCACTCACAGCGAGCCAGGAGTAGGCGTTGAGGCCTCCGCGCAGCGCGGTCTGCACGCCCCTCAAGCACGCCAGGCGAAGCTGTGTCCCAATGTCGAGAAGTCCGAAGCCGCCCACGGAGACTGGCCTTGCAAGAACGCCGCCCGGCAACCAGGTAGTACGCCGAGGTCCCCAGACAAAGCGCACCAGTCGGGCCTGCAGCTTGGCGATGGTGGAGTCTGTGGACAGGTAGCCGTGAAGATGGTGCACCACGGCGGACAACACCAGCGAGTTGGCGGCTCTGGCTCGACCGACTAAGGAGAGGCCGCGGGTGAAGGGGACCCACCTCGCCACAGCACTCTCGAGCAGTGCGAGGAGATGTTGTTCCTGGGCGGAGGATGACACTGCAGGTGTTAAGTTGCAGCCCAGTACCCGAATCTGCTCCGATGTCCAGGAGATGCCAAGCTGCGCGTCGGTGCGGGCCCGCCAGGCGCCGCACCATAGGCCTTTACACTTCGCGAAGTTGACGCCTATTCCCGAAGCGCGTCGGAAGTCCTCGAAGATGATTTTCACCACGTCGAAGAGCTCGTCGCGCCTGATGAGCAGCACGATGTCGTCGGCGTAGGCGAGGACGCTTCCTGGGCCGAGCGCTCGCTCGAGGCGCACCAGGAGAGGGCCAGTGGCGAGGCTAAACAAAGCGGCGCTGATGGCACAGCCCTGCCTCACCCCGTTCAGCAGATGGAAGGGCCTTGTGTGGAGGCCTCCGGCTCGCACCGCCGCATCCGCCCCGGCATACAGGAGGAGGAACCACTCAACGAAGGCAGGAGGCAGCCGCAGAGAGACCATCAGGGACACCAGAAAGCAGCGGTCCAGGGTGTCGAAGGCCGACTCTAGGTCCGTTGAGATGACAGCCAGCTCCGACCCGTTCCTCGTAGCCATGTCGATCTCGT